CAATTTTGAGGAAGTTAGCCAAGGTTCTCTTGGTTAGGATCCTCCAAAGCATTCACTAAAAGAAAAGGTATAAAATAGATCATTACTGTATTATCCCTGCTAAGCATCATGATCAGTGCCACAAGATTAATATCACTACACCGACCAAGATGGAAATTTCAAACCCTGTATCAGTCTTGAACTCCCAAGCTAAAGGTATGCATTTGTATAGTATTTCCTCACCATTCACTTCAGTTTTCTTTCTTTCAGGTCTCGGGATGCCAGCATGGTTGAATACATGTTCCACACATTGTTTCAGCTCCCAGAGAGCTTTCTTTTGGAGTGTGGATCCAGTGAGGTGGCCAGTGCCTGGAAAAGCCCTTTTACTTCTTGGCATGTTTTTTCCAGTGTTTCTTCTTCATACATCACACAGTGGACAATGATAACTTGTGAATACATGCCAAATAGTAACAAGAACGATCTTGCCCAACCCCTTCTAGGCACAAAGAGGTCTCTGGAAAGAATCTGTCCTAATGGTAAAAACATACAGAGGGTCAAGACTATTGGCTAGAGATCTGATAATGTGATGATGTAAGCAGCTATTTTAATGGTAAAGGCAGAAATCTATTGGCGTTTGGATGAAAGCACTGCCAAAATTATCGAACTAAATTTCACACTACAAAACTATTTTAATGCCAAGTTGAAGGTAGTTTATGGCTTACCAGTTGGCATCTTTGACTCTTTAAACATCACTGTACACTTGGATTAAAATGATAAAAAGACAGACCAAGAAGAGATACAGCAAAGGGTAGGTTTCAGAATTAAAAACATGACCTCACCACTCAGCCAACTGTGGAACTCTTGACCCATTCAATACCATTCTCCATAGATTAAAAAAGTTGGATGATATCCATCTGTTGGAACCTCAGGGGATGTGGTAAAGCCTGAAAACTACAGCCAGCCAGAGGTGCATGAAATCTGCTACTGTATTTTCCAGGACTCTTTGATTCCAGTCCTTGGCTAAAAATTCTCACAAAGTTCACCAATCATGATGTGGACCTATGACCCATAAGTTTTCTCAATCGACTCCAAACAGTACAGTGAACTGCCTTTGGATACAAGAGATGTCCGTGCTCAGAGCAGCTGGAATTGGACTAGTGAAAATAAAGATATGTAAGTAGTTAGGAATCTACTAAAGCTTTAACTTAGCTGGGCACAGAGTAACTAACATAGTATTTATGGATGGAGCTCACAGTCCTTCAGTTGTACAGATTGGAAAACTTTTTTGCAAGATCAAATATGCTGATGTAAGATTATATTTATTATGATGTATAATAGGTCACACTCGTGTATTTTACATAATGTGTTGCATAGATAAAATGAATTACTGTATAGTATGCTTTTCAAATATCAGTATCTTGAAATGTTCAAGTCTTAAGATTTTGATCTAAAATATGAATGTTTTATGATAAAAGTGGTTAATTTTCTCTAGAAATGCTTTTGCATGTTTACCTTTTTATTTAGGGTTCTATATATACACACAATTGGGTGTCAAACTCTCATAAGCTCAATAGCAAATACAAAATATCTTTGCCAGACTAAGACTTACTGTCTATATTTTATATGACATAGTCAAGTTTCTATTGTCTTTAAAGAACATTTAGATTGTGCCCCCAAATATGGTTGAAGCTTCCATTTCTAATGCAAAACCTTGTCCTAAATTCAAAGTAGATCTTACGTTTTAGAAGTCTGGAGGAATGGGCATTACAGATATATCAGAATTTAAGGAAAACCTAGGGAAATCGGGAGAGAAAAAGGCAGCTGGTGCAATCAGTTACTGTCCTCAGTTCTCTTACATTTTTGTGTTGTAATCATGTACTCTGAGATGGAGTTTCTAAGTAACACACTACCACCAAGTTCAAGACTGCTATTTAATGTTTTAGGTGTTCAGTTGGTAACTTGAATTTCAAGTTTTATAGTGATAACTGTGTGTGATGTGGCTGCTGAATTGTTACAGTTTTTTATTATGTTGTACATTGTACCATACACATCATTACAAATTAATATGAAGGGGAATATATGTTACATATCAAAATTTGTGACTTTGAATTCTAGTATGTTTTTGTGTTTTTGCAAAAATGTTTATTTTTATATTACCTGTGATTTTAACATAGTTGGACTAGATTTCTTTGTGATTAGTAGTTTCATTGAATGAGCAGTATGGAAACAG